ACAACCCAACGCGGGGAGGAGCGCCGGCCGCATCACCGTGCTCTCCTGGGAGGCTTCCGTGCTCGGCGCTGTATAAATCGCCAGCAAGAACTGTAATGATGGGAGCGAGCGTTGCGGTCCTGACGCCGGTAAATAAGAATCGTAAAGTCGAGGAAGAGCTGTAATCTGACTTTCCCGTTGCAAATCTCATCCCGTGTTGGGTGGCCCTAGGCAAGATGTAACAACTGTCTTCAGTCCTTTTATTTGCATTAGCTTTAGGAATGGTATTTAATTTTTTCACAAAACATCTAATCCGCCCCAAAATGAGCCTCCAGGGCTCTTGCATATTGCAGCTGAGACTGGCTAAATAAAAATATCCATGATATCAACAATGTTGGAAGGGTGCAGAATGGAGGAAAGAGAAGACATAGTAGAGAAATGTTATTGGATACATTTTCCTTTAGTCTGAAATTGCACCTTTAATTTTTTCTTTAACATTCTACCAAAATATTTGAAATGATTCCATATGGCATTCACCTATGCAGAATATAAAATCTCTCCTAGACTATATACTGTAAATTCAGAGTCGTGCCTAATTCTACAATTGAAAACACTGGTATCTCTCAAAATCCTACTGACTTTAAGACCAAATTATATCTCCATACTTAGTTTAAACCCCATTGGACCCAATGGATATTTTGTAGTTCAGCTCTGCTTATGTTCTGCTTTGAAATACTGTATGAGGAAGCTGATCAATTTGTTGGGGACTGTTTAATCTGTTCCAGGAAGATCATTTTAATGCAAGTGGGGGCATTATTAAGTAATACCATATTCTAGTGTAGCATAGTCATATATGTGACCGTAACCTTGATTTTTCAGTAATTTACTTTTTGTGAAGTTATAGCTGAGAATCTTAGATCTTTACACACTGACACTGTATTTCAGCAGGTAACAATGGATCTCCTGTTGTTTACTAATCTCTTTTTTCTGACAATTTTCTTACGTATCATTATTTAATTTTCTCTGCAACGGTCAGTCAGTTTTCAAACTGGATGCTGTTCTAGGCCAAGCGGAAGCTGTTTCTGTAGTTCTGTCATTCTAAAGCGAGTCAACATGTGTCAGTGGCAGGAGGTGCTTGTGGAAGTCCCCCACAAATATTAAATCCTATTTAATAACAGTAGTTAGAGATCTTTGGGCCAAGCTGCTGAACAAAAAAAGGTTCATTGTGAGCACAGGAAGGCGTGTTTTCCACATGCAAATCCTTCCATCTGCATTCCAGTGAGTATATTGTCATCTGCTATGTGGTAATATACATCTATCTCCCATTAACTTCAGTCAGCTTTCCTATGCAGAAGATAACAAGGTATTAAAGCCTTAAGGGATGCATTATTTTCTATTTAGTAAATGTATTGTGGCTAGAGTAAAACTGAGTTGATGGAAAGAAGTGTTGAGCATGCAGGAACTGATATGAAAGGCATTCCAGATATATAAGTAAACTCTTTATTATCTGGAGAACACCAGGAGAGTCAATGTGGGTGACTTAGTGGCAATGTAACAACTATCATTAATAGATGCCACGGCTAAGATGCTCAAATACGCCCATGAAAATCCCACACGCAGACACTGTAAGCATGAAGTCAGTTACTTTAAACAATATACTGAAGAATTCTAAAAAATCAGATGATCAAATAATAAATCAGAGTTCCTAGTTCAAATATAGTAATGCATTCGGATGTAATGCTGTGCGAAACTCTATAGAAACTGTAAGAGGTAGACAGAAATATCTAAATACGATACCATTTGCAGCTAAATTTAGAAGCAGGTGGCCTTTCTCAACTGAATCTAGAAGCATCCACATTGAACTTTGCATTTGCTAGTACTCTAACACTTAAAGTGGGAATAGGTGATCCACCTTCCTTGTCTATGTGTCTATTTGTTACATATAGGCTGCATTCACATATAATTATCAATGCATTTAACAATAATTTGTTGTACAAGCCATTGTAGCTGGGTTCCCAAGGCACTAAGCCACAGCTTGGTTCATATATCACCCTAAGCCAACCGTATTACAGCTAATGTTTTTTGTGAACCGGCTCCCAGTAACTGGTTCTCCCTCTTTTATGAGCACAGATTGAACTCCACCAAGCAGAGCTGACTGGAGATTGAGATGAAATATAAAATCCAGAAGCAAAATTCAGGAATTCTGTTTCCCGTAGAAAAGTTGGAAGTACTTTCACCAAAAAATAGTGCTCTAAGGCTTACACAAAGTATTGGGGCATCTTCAAGGCTAAAAACAAATACTGTATTATGATATCTTTAATTAGAAAATGGGTCAGGAAGAAGGAAGAAATACTTCTTTCTCCCTTTCATCGGAATGGCTCTCTGATGTTACTCCACCCCAGTTCGGAAGGACTGTTGCTTCAATGTTCGCAAACATAAGCAATTGGAGTTGTATTCCAAAACATCCAGAGCACACCAGTCGATGTAACCCTAGCATAGGGGTGAGGAGGGTGAACTAGTTATAGAGAATGATTTTGCATCATTTGCGCACTGTTACCATGCAGAGTACTGATAGTGGGAAAAGGATTCCCATAGAAGAAGGTGCTGTAAAGGTCTTCCATTTACAAAAATGAATTCTTAGAGACACTAGAATTTCTCTTCAAGATACATTTTATTTTATGGGTCTCCACAACAGAAACTCTATCCCAGTTCACCTTCAGGTCTAACATGAGACCAGCCTTTTTGATATCCCTCTCAGAGCCCACTGTAATAAGATGATAATTTCCTTTATCTAAGTATTTTGGCAGACAAGCAGCATAATCGTAAAATCAGACATGTGGCTCAGTCTAATTCTAATCCTCTCATTCTTACAACCATATGACCATGAAACGATGGGCTGAAATGGGGAAGAAAGATACAAAACACTTAAAACAATAGATCCTTTAACTGCTGTAGTTTGCAACTGCATTTATGTACTGTAGTACAGATCTCTAGCAGCTGAAGAAAAATGCTTATTGGGTTCAGCTTTTCTTTCCCCTCTTATTGTTATCCTCTTTGGCACAATATAGTATTTCAGTATTAATATGATGGCTGTGTGAAAAGAAATCAAACTCAGATCAGTTCATTCATATAAATTAAGAGTGGGCTTCCACAGGATTTACATATATATGTATGAAGATAGAGCTTGGAACACTGCCCTCTCCAATAAACATTTTAATCTGTGGTAACCCAGTCTTTGAATGCTCTTAGCCTTTATAAATATAAGTATTACTTTAACACCTGCCCCTTAGAACATGATAGCATTGTAGTTAACTGCTAAGTGGCAGGTGTTCCAATATCTCTTGAGAAACTGTTTTATTTTCCTTGCTTGCAGTTCAAGAGAAACATGTTTAAAATTCTGGTTTGAGAATGCAGATAGGGCTTTATTATCATGTCCTCTTTATTATCTCATATTATTTGAAAAATTGTATTTGATAGAACCTTACATATCTGCAAGGATTTCATGAGGGAAAATGATCCAGAGAGCAAATGGACAAAGTAACAGCTGTTCATTTGCTATTATGGTTGTCTCTCACAATGCAGAGCTACAGAAAAATGTTGGATACATTTAAAATGTTCCTGTTTCACATGTATTAACTTTATTGTAGCACCATTATTTTACTGATCTCTACTACACACAGACATAGACACAGATACACAATATGGTGTCATTTTGCTAAAGGACTACACTCTACAATTATTCGAATATGGCAATAACTAATTGTTATTACTATTATTTATAATAATTGCTGATAATCTAGGAATCCTGGCTCTATATTGGAAGGGCCTTAGGGCAGTTATTCCAATTGTTTTTCAACAGATGCCTTTGTGGAAAATAAAAAAGGCAAATGTAGTATGGGGATTGGGGAAGACATCATCTGATTATACAATGGGGAGACGTTGCATACCCCAGTACTGGGATGAGGGAGAAAGATTGCATGATCAGAATCTGATTGGGAAGCATGAAATTATTTTATGTATTGTATTTAACTTTCCATCAAAAGAATATTTGCTCACCACATAAACAGTACAGAGGAAATGAAATGAATAGCTTAATTAAAATGTAAGTGCAATTGCTGATATTACAGTAAACTTTTTTTTTTTTTGGTGCTTTCAAGTCAGTGTTGACTCCTCATGACTGCCTGGACAACTCCCTGCAGTTTTCTTGGCCAGATTTCAGAAGTGGTTTGCCATTGCCTGCTTCCTAGGGCTGAGAGTGACTGGCCCAAGATCACTCAGTTGGCTTTGTGCCTAAGGTGGGACTAGAACTTACGTTCTCCTGGTTTCTAGCCTGATGCCTTAACCACCACACCAAACTGGCTCTCTAGTAAACATTACACATC